AGAAGGAAAGAAAGAAAGAAAGAAAGAAAGAAAGAAAGAAAGAAAGAAAGAAAGAAAGAAAGAAAGAAAGAAAGAAAGAAAGAAAGAAAGAAAGAAAAGTATAGCAATATTATGTTCTCTTGAGAGGAGTCTACTCCACACTGTGCCTTCTATATTTGGGCCATCACCTCAGCTTTCTCCCCACTAGTAACCTAGACTCTGCTCCTGGTCCCATGGCTCTGATAGGTGAGTTTCTGCCTTACTTTGTAGGGCTCATGGCCTTCACATTACTTCCCCATTGATTCCACACCATGTTACTGGGTGTATTGCCACCACCCTTTCCAGATCTTTATGTATAGACTACCATCATTAGAATGTAAGCTTCTTGAGCACAGGTACTGACTTGCTTATTTGTAATTGTGTCCCCAGCGCTTAGCACTATGCCCCTTATAATAATAAACACTTAATAAACACTTAATAAATGCTTTATCTATCTAGAACACATTAAGCTCGCATTTATGAAAAGGGTACTGATGTAGACTGGTGCTGGTTCCTGGTAAAATAATTCTAATATATGGCTTCAATAGTTTTTATTTCTAGTCTACAGGATGATTGTTTAGGTTTGTACATTGTCTCTGTCTTGTGGGGATCCAGAAGCTTCTCCACCATCTTCAGATCAGGATAAAAGGAATTGTCTCCCATCTCTTTAAAAGCAAAAGGAATTCCTTCTCCCAAACTTTCCCTGCTTGCCACCATTAACCACATAAGTCTTGATTAGGAGCCAGAAAATGTTGATATGTATACATAAGTATTAACAATAATGGTAAGCGTCTGAGGAATTGTTAGAAAACAGCTACCTGTAGCCCATAGTTGTCCAGGAGGAAAGGGCAGGGATGAGGTATATCATACTTACCCTATCAACCTCTATTCCTCCAAGTAGTTCTAGAAGATGAACTCTCCTTGTCCCTTTCCCAGAATCTTTTTCCAGTGCCAAGTTCAAAGGGCATAAATCCTGACAGGCAACTAGAAGCCTGAGTTCCTGTGGCAGTACTTACAACCTTGCCAGATAGGAGGTGGCAGTTTACAAAAAGGACTCTCCAGTGCCAATCCTCATCTTCCAAATGGCAAGAGCTCAGAGGATTTTGGAAGGAGCCTCAAAGGAGACTTTGAGTTAAAAACAACAACAACATTAGAGACCACGAGATTTAGAGCTCGAGGGGATTTTCAGAAATGATCTTCTCTAAGTAGCTAATTTTACAGAGGACAAAACTGAAAACCAAAGAGCTAAATGATTTGCCAAAGGTCCTGCAGGTTTTAAGTAGAAAAACAGAGATTTAAAGTCAGCTCCAAATTTAATGTTTCAAAGAACTAAACCATCTGCCTCTAACCAAGCCTGGAGCCCTTTAAGGTTTACACCATTAAGTCACGCTGAAGTGAGAAGGCAATTTAGATGGTATTAGAAATCCGACCTTCACATTTTGGACAATTTAATTGTATTCCTTCTGGATAACAGCTTTTAGAAGTGGTCAGTAAGCAAAGGAAAATACAGAGTCACCAGAAATGTAAATGTTTCCATTTCATTCATGTTGCCCCTTTTCAAGTGAGGGGAAATTTACAATAATGGAGACAGTATGTCAAATGAAAAGTTCTGGGTGTCAAATCTTGGCTCTGCCACAAACTGGTTGTGCGATCTTGGGCAAGTCACTTTCTCTGGGCTCAATTTCCTTATTTTTAAAAAGGGGGAGAGAGGTTGGAATAGAGGATCTTTAAGGGTTCCCTGAGCTCTGATATTCCATATTCTAAGATCATTTACAGATTTTTAACCTTACAAATCCTTGAGTAACAGGAGCCCAGCTGAGAGGGACTTGGAAAATACTGGATTTTTTTTTTTGCTTCTTCTTAAAGGTGAAAATACTAAATGGCAAGAAAACAAACTTCCATCTAGCAACCAAAGAATTCATTATGATCTTAAATTGTCCTCATAAGGCAAGCTGGTAGATTACTTCCTTTTACCAAGATTATCAGCAATAAGTGTTGAAGCAGCAGTTGAATCTTGTTTGGTAGAACACTGCTTTCTCTTAATTAAGATTTCAGTCAATCAATCAACAAGCACTTATTAAGAACCAATTAGGTGGCTGGCACTGTGATAGGTAGTGGGGATACAAAGACAAAAACCAAAATAGTGGGTGCCCTAGAGGAACTTATGCTGAATTGGAAGAAGATAACACATAGTGGCAAAAGTAAATAAAGATAGATACAAAGTAAATGCAAAGTGACACTAGAAGCTGGGGGAAGGGGGTCAGGAAAGTGCTCATGCAAACAGTGTCACTTAATCTGTACTTTGAAAGAAGCTAGGGATGTTAAGAGGCAAAGGTGAGGAGAGAATGCACTCCAGACCTGGGGGGACAGCCTGTACAAAGGCACAAATATAGCAGATAGCGATGTCATGTATGAGGAACAGCAAGTAGGCCAGTTATGCTGACCATAGCCTGTGTGAAAGAGAATAATAGGTGATAAACCTGAGAAGGTACATTGGAATCAGACTGTGAACAACTTTGAATCAGTCAGTCAAGCATGTGTTAAGTAGCTACTATGTACCAGGGACTTTGTTAGGCACTGGGATACAAAGAAAGGCAAAAGATAGTCCCTGCTCTCAAGGAGCTCATGGTCTAATAGGGGAGACAACAAGATAAATTGGAGATAATCAACAGAGGGGAGGCACTTACCTTAAAGGGAACTAGGAAGAACTTCCTGTAGAAGATGGAATTTTAGCCGGACTTGAAAGAAGTCGGGGAAGCTAGGAGGTGGAGATAAGGAGAGAGAGTATTCCAGGCATGGGGCACAGCCACTGAAAATGCCTTGAGTCCATTGAGTGTCTTCTTCTGTGAGGAGGGGGGAGTCTTCCCCTCCCAGTTTTATTTATTTTTTTTAATTAGAAGGGCCATCCCTTGGCTCACTTCTTAAACAGGCCTATTCGCTGAATGAGCGTTGCCTTACTCAAAGTGAGACCTCGAAAGACCTTAGCTTACAAAGGCCAAGATCTCCCACTGCATCCAGGGCCATCTCCAGCCATGCTGATCTGTATCTAGCCACTGGACCCAGATGGCTCTGCAGGAGAAAGTGAGGCTGGTGATTTTGCACAGCTCTCTTTCACTTAAATCCAATTCATTTGCAAGTCATGTCATCTTTCTGATGTCATGATCCTCTTAGATAATGAAAGAGAAACCACAATGTGGAAATATGTTTACATGATTGCACATGTATAACCTATATCAGATTGCTTGCTGTCTCGGGGAGGGGGTGGGAGGGAGAGAGAGAGAAAAGATTTGAAACTCAAAATCTTATAAAAAATGAATGTTGAAAACTATTTTTACATGCAGTCAAAAAAATAAAATACTATTTACCCCCCCCCAAAAAAGGGAAAAAAGGGGAAAAAAAGATTATTGGATCCAGGAATTAAGAAACCATTTGCAGATAGCAATTGCAGTTGAATGATAAGATTAGAAGTCAGAGAGAATATCTGTACTGCTTTGTAGTTTTCAGGGGGCCACTTCTGAAAACTAATTGGGGTCAGCATCAGGGCCAACAGTAGCTGGTGAATCATTTTCAGGTCAAGAATTCATAGACCTTAGACTGGCAAGGGATCTTAGAAACCATCTAGACCAGTTTCCTTTTCTTATAAATGAAACAGTCAAGGCCCAGAGAGAATAAATGATGTGTTAGAACATAGAATGTTAGAATAAGGAACCTCTAGAACTCACCTAATCCCACTACCTCATTATACTGAGGAAGAAACTGAGTCTCGGGAATGAAAAGCTAGTTGTGGCAGGGGCAAGCTCATCTGCCAGTTCTCTTGATTTCTGACTCAAGGCTTTTTCCTAGTTTTCTTCTGAGCAGATACCTGGCCCATAGGTAGGGCATCTGGCATGTACATTGCTCTCAAGAAACTTGTTTACAAAATTGTAATAGTGACTGGACCTGAACTTTCACTGCTATAGAGAACTCCCAGGTGAGGAACTCCCTCTACTAATGCAGGTTGGTGCCTTCTCTGCACTTTATAGTCTTAGTTGTCTAGAGGGACACTGGGAGGATAAGTGATTTGTTGAGGGTCACACAGCCAATGGGTCAGAGGTTTGAGGCTAGCTCTAAATCTACTATGCCAGCTTTAAGTCTACTATGCCACAGAATAGGTGCTAAAACTGGCTGTCCAGTGTCCCCCAAGGCCCTCCTTTTCCCAGTATGAAGGGGTGTGTGTGTGTGTGTGTGTGTGTGTGTGTGTGTGTGTGTGTGTGTGTGTGTCTGAGTAGGGGGCTTCATTGCCTGAGCTTATATGTCTATATCTACCTATCTATACCATTGAATTGGTGCTTTGACCCAGTCCTTCCTGGCTCACCCTCACTTTGTTTCTCCCAGGTAAGCAGCACCTAACATATACACCCAAGTACTTTGGCCACATAATGAGAAGACAGGACTCATTGGAAAAGATCTTGATGTTTGGAAAGATTAAATGCAAAAGGACAAGGGGACGGCAGATGATGAGATGGATAGTGTCTTGGAAGAAATGAACATGAGCTTGGACAGACTTTGGGAGATAGTGGGGGTTTACAGAAGGCCTGGCGTGCCATGGTCCATGGGGTCACCAAGAGTCGGACACGACTAAACAACAAAGCTGATCAAATCAATCCCCAAAGTTCGGGAACTGCCCCCGTCGAACTCCTCTTTGGGATCACCGAGAGCCAGCTAACTCCCCTGGAAGCCTCTCCTACAGGGGGCCAAGACAAATCGGACCCTAAAGAGCTAGGTCCTCGGAACCAAACCGAAACTTGACCAAAGAAGGCTGGATGGGACGGGCCCGATCGAACCGGGACGGGCCCGATCGAACCTGGCCCGGCTGAGTCTGGCACAAGCCACCCACCCAGACGGGCCGCGCCAGCCCCTGTCCCTGCCCCGCCGGTTCTGTTCGCCCTTCTCCCTCTCCCCTCCCCCCCGGGAGGAGGAGACTCCGCTTCCTTCGTCCCTCCTCCCGCCGCTGCTGCAGGAATCTCGGCTGCCCAAAGCCCGCTCGGCTCTGCGTTTCACGGGGCTGAGCTGAGCCGAGCTGAGCTGAGCTGAGCCGGGCCAGGCCGGGCCAGGCTGGGCGGGGAGCGAGGTGGCCCAGGTGAGTCGGGGCGCTGCGGGGATGGGGAGCCGTCCTCATACCGGGCGATCCCGGAGAAAAACTACGCCCCTTCCATAGGGCGAGTGGGGGGGGGTGGAGGCGAGCACTGAGGCTTTAAGACCCAGGGCAGCAACGGAATTACCGAGTTTCGGGGAGGAGAGAGTGCTGTGGGCATCTGCCAGTTCAGAAGCCTCGACCGTCCCAACTCCTCTAACCTAACTTTCTTCCTCCAACTTTTTTTGGAGGGGCTGGAGTAGGGGTGGGGGAAGCTCCATTCTGGAGTGTTTGTGTATCTATCTCCTGGGGGACCGAATCCCTCCTCCAGCTTGGGTGATGGTGGGGGGGCGCCTAGGGTTTGGAATGCAGCGGTCCCGGGGTGGGGGGAAGTGGGGGAGGCCAGGGGTGGGATTTGGAGCTCTCCCCACCGACCTTAACGTGGTCACTATGGCGAGCGTGGGATAGACTAGCACTGGCGGCCAATCCTGGTGGGGAACCCTCTCATCTCGGTCTACCCCCCCCTCCGGAGGGGCCAATGAGGGCTTCGAAGAAAGGGGTGGGCGGGACCTCCCGGTGTTGGGGGAGGTGGGGAGTAATTGGGCGCTGGGGCAGCGGGAGGGGATGGGCGAAAGAGAGGTGGGGAAGTAGGGATGTCTTTATGAACTCCGAGGCTAATTCTTGAGCGCTGGGTGTTTGAAGAGGAATCGAGTATATCTCTTAGGAAAGAGAGAGAAGAATTGGGTGGTGGTAGGAATGCACATCTGGAAATATGATGCGGTTATCAGAGACCATAGTGGACAGGTGGAGGGGCCAGGGAGGAGAGACCTGAGTTGCCCTTTCTGGCTTGAGAGTAGGGAGTGGATCCTAGTCCTGCTAAGATCACAGCTGTGCAAACGACTTCTAATAAGTGGTATTTGTACAACTGTTAAGTTCTCACAAATTCTCAGATTTGATGTAACAAATGACAAAAAAAATTATTAAATCACTCTTGTATGCAAACTGTCGTGCTAGGCACCTCGGGGAGTGACAGGCCTTAAAAAAAAAAGAAACTAGCTCAGACCCTATGGAGCACTCAATCTAGTAGAGAGGGAAATTGATACACAATGAAGATTAATACTCTATAAAGATTTGTGTTTCTGTTTTTTGGGCATTTCCTTTCTTGATCCAGGTTGCAGGCCCTCAAAGAAATAGAGGGAAGTTGCTGTGGCCAAAAAATTCATCACCCTGCAGTCCGTCTGGTGATGAACCTCTTCTGATGTATTCAGGCTGCCACTTAGAGAAGAGGCATGTAGTCCACCTCCCCCCCCCCCAGTCCATATGTGTATACAGCTACCCATAATACACAATTTAGGGTGGAAATGCAAAAGAAGGTGTCATGTGAAGTTTGAGGAGAAAATCCTCATCCCAATTTTGAGAAAGCTTCCTAGAGGGGTCATTCGTGTTAGCTTTTAAAGGAAGAATAAGAATTCAGCAGGTGAAAGAGGAAAGGAGGGATATTCTAGATATAGGGAAGAGCATAGGCAAAGGTATAGCAGTTGATGGGTCAAGATGTTTTGATTGGTGGGAGAGGGGAAAGAGCATAGTCCAATTTGAAGCATAGAATACAGAGGAAGGATTAGTTGGAGCTAGAACTGGGAAAATAGGGAGCTCTCAGATTGTTGCATGCCTCAGTACCTTGCAGAGGAGTTTAACCTTTACTCTGTAGGCAAAAAAGAGAGCCCCAGAAAATTTTTGAGCAGTAAGTGGCATGATCAGATAACACGCACAAGAAAGACCATTTAAGATTATTTAATGTTTCTGTCTGGCATTTAAAGCCCTTTAGAATTCAGCTCTTGCTGAACAACTTCTAAACAACTTCTGTTATTCCCTCTTACATACTTCATGTTCTAAGGAAACTGGTCTACGTATTATTCCCCATATGTGATATTCCATTTCCTGCCTCCTCCTTTTTGGACAGGCTGTGCCCTATGCCTAAAATGTTCTGCTTCACTTCCACTGATTGGAATCCCTACCTTCCTTCAAGGAAGGATCAAGTGTCATCTTCTACAAAGAACCTTTTTGTAATCCTCCTCTGCTACTTACTACCTGTGGGACTGTGAGCAAGTCACTTAATCCTTTTTGAGTCTCAGTTTCCTTATCTATATAATAAGGAGTTTGGACTAGGTGATCTCTATGGATCCCGTCAGCTCTCAGCCTGTGATGCTATAATGCCCCTTAGTTGGTAGAACTCTTCCACTCTTCACTGAATTACTTTGTATGTATTTCGTGCTTATTTGCGCACTTGACCAAATGAGATAATGTTTATAAATCCTTTGCACATCTTGACCTGCTCTCTGTTGTTTTGTTATTGTTATTGTTTCCCCCAGTAGAGTTTAGGGTCCTTGAGGGTAGAGGTCGTTTCTGGTTTTGGCTTTTGTGTCTTCATCGACTACCACAGTGCCTGACATATAGTAGGATTTATATTTAGTATATTTAAATTATATATATATATATATATGTATTTAATATAATTTGTATATAAATATATTTATATTTAGTAATTAAACTTCATGTTCTAAGCAAATTTAATTGATTGGATATGGATGGTGAGGGAGAAGAAAGAATTTAAGATACACCTGAAGTTACAAACATTGGAAGCTAGTGAATATTGTTGTCACAGACAGAAATGGCGAAGTCAGAAAGAGGAGTTTAAGGGGAAAGGTAACGAAAGCAGTTTTGGACATGTTGAATTGGGTGTGTTGGTGGGAGATGCAAATAAAAATATCCAGTTGGAGTTGTTGGTCTGGAGCTCAAAAGAGAGAGCAGAAGGAGGAGGGATAGAGGTTTGGGAGTCATCTGCATAGAAATGTTAGCGGAAGCAAGGAAGTGAATGAGATTGCTGAGGGAGAGAATACAGCAAGAGACTATGGGGGCAGGTAGGTGCCGCACCAGCCCCGGAGTCAGGAGGACCTGAGTTCAAATCCAGCCTCAGATACCTACTAGCTTGTGTGACCCTGAGCAAGTCACTTAGCCCCCATTGCCGACAGAGAGACAGAGACAGAGAGAGAGAGAGAGAATGAATACAGCCATTGGGAACCTATATTAAGGGGTTGGGAAGGTGAGGAACCAGTAAAAGAAACAGGGGTGGTTAGAAAGGTAAGAGGAGAGTCAGGAGAGGATGATGTCTCTCTGAAGTATCCAAGACCAGAAAGCAATCAACTGTGTCAGAAAGCCACAGAGAGGATGAAGAGTTTTCTTTAAAAGGCCATTAGAGGGGCAGCTAGGTGGCACAGTGGATAGAGCACTGGCCCTAGAGGCAGGGGGACCTGAGTTCAAATCCAGCCTTAGACACATAACACTTACTAGCTGTGTGACCCTGGGCAAGTCACTTAACCCCATTGCCTAAACCCCCCCCCAAAAAAAGGCCATGAGATTTGGCAATCCAGACCTTATGGTGACTTTAGAAAAGTTTCAATAGAGTAGTAGTAGTAGTAGATGTCTAATTGAAAGAAGTAAGGAAAGGGGCAGCTAGGTGGCATAATGGATAGAGCACTGGCCCTGGAGTCATGAGGACCTGAGTTCAAATCCGGCTCCAGACACTTAGCTAGCTGTGTGACCCTGGGCAAGTCACTTAACCCCCATTGCCTCTTAAAGAAAGAAAGAAAGAGGTAAGGAGAGAGTGGGTAGTGAGGAAATGAAGGTGTCAAGTTTAGACACCCTTTTCAAGAAGTTCAGTAGAAGAAAAATGAAGAATTTGTTGTTGTTCGATTGTTTCTGACTCTGTGACTCTATTTGGGATTTTCTTGGCAGAGATACTAGAGTGGTTTGCCATTTCCTTCTCCAGCTCATTTTACAAATGAGGACCTAGGCAAACAGGGTTAAGTGACTTGTCCAGGGTCATACATTTAGTAAGCATCTGAGGCCAGATTTGAACTCAAGAAGCAAAGTCTTGCTGACTAGGTACTACACTCTTTCCACTGCATCGCCTAGCTAGATGAGATTTAAAAAGGCAAAAGCAGTCTCCTTTTGCTGTGAATTGGAGTGACCTGAGTATATCTGTGGGTAAATGGGGGAAAAAATGACAAGGGAGAAAATGATGTTGCTGCAGCAAGGTCCTAGAGGAAACAGGGAAGAATGAGATCAAGGGCACGGATAGGAAGATCAGCTTGATCCTTAGATCTTTAGTTGGAAGAGACCTCAGAGACCTTTTAGTCTAACTTGTACCCAAATAAGTGCCGCCACAGCAATACACCTAACAAGTAGTCATCCAATCTTTGTTTAAAGACTTCCAGTGACAGGGAACTCACTACCTCTAGAAGCAGCCATTCCATTCTTGGATATCTTTAAGAGTAAGGGAGTTTTTTTCCTGACTTGGAGCCTAAATTGGCTTCTTTGTCATTTCTACCTATTACTCCTGGTTCTGCCCTTTGGGACCAAACAGAACAAGTCTAATCCTTTTTACACATAAGAGCCCTTCATATCCTACCCCTACTGCCCGTACCCCTATGGAACTTTAGCCATGGACTCTTGTACCAATCCTACCCCATTCTGGTTTCCCTCCTCTAAACAGTTTCCAACTTATCAATGTCTTCTCTCTCGTCCTTCCTTCCTTCCCTCCTTCCCTTCTTCCCTCCCTCCCTCCTTCCTTCCTTCCTTCCTTCCTTCCTTCCTTCCTTCCTTCCTTCCCTCCTTCCTTCTCTCCTTCCCTCTCTCCCTCCCTCCCTCCCTCCCTCCCTCCTTCCTTCCTTTCTTCCTTCCTTCCTTCCCTCGCTCCCCCAGGCTAGAAATGCAGGAACCACTCATTGACCCAGTCCCACTGCTGATCAGCACAAAAGCTCTGACCTGCTCAGTTTCCGAGCTGGGCCACTTTTTTCACCACTCCTTAGGTAGCCTAGTGTAGCACTTCTTAACCTGTGGGTTGCCACCCCATATGGCGTCACAAAAAATTTGGCAACAGTAAGAGATTTTTGAACACCGAATAACCAAAAATTAATTAAAAATCAAACGTGTAATGAATCCGAGGT